TTCACAGTAACCAACCCTTTTAATTGAATTTACTTGTTAAAATTTAAACACGAATTCGGTCGACATATCTGTTTGATGGAGGGGCTCGGGAAAGCCTCCGAGTCCGAGTTCGCGGTGGAACGGTGCAGCTTGAGGACATAAAAAATCAGAGTTGGAATTCGCCGCCCATGCGTAAGCAAAAAAATGCGATTACGCGAGACCACGTTAAGCATTCTTCGTACTTGCCCTTGCTTATGAAAAAAATGGAGCCAATTGTTATGCCAGTAGAAAGCAGTTAATCTCTATCCCAACAAACAGAAAAATCTGTATTCCATTATCCTGAACGCTGTTGAGCGACTTCCTTAGCTAACAGATTCGACTTGAAATACAGAATCCATCACTTTTCTGTAAATGCAGCAAATCAAACACCAACAATTGGAAACAGTCATATCCGAAGCCACAATGGGACGTGAGTTTGATCGAAACGAACAGTACGAACCCACCAGGTCCAATGAGACCACTCATCCATTGAGCGACAACGCAGTCTCGAGAGATGTGAATTTAATGTGATTCCAGGGCGTGAACAATGCGACCAACATAAGTCTATGCCAAATGGAAAATATGGGATTAAGAGGCGCCTTTTTGTTGTTGTATATTTAATACCAGGTAGACCGTTGTAATGAAAAGACAATCGACTTATATTCATCGAGAATTTATAATTCCTCGTGTCCCAATGGGCGTCCATAGTTGAGAGCCTGGCTGCCAACAAACAGGCTATGGTGCTCCAAAACCTCCTTCTCCTGCAGCTTTCCGTCCTGTAATCGAACGAGCAAACAGCATTAACCATTATTATCCTAACATTACTGACAATGAACTAAGCGTGATAGTCGAAAGCACCTTGTCATCATCAGCGTGGTAGATGAGGTGTTTGGCTTCTGCTTCGACAGGATCGTAGTCGGTTGGCATGATCCATTCACCAATCTCCTGGCGGTCCATGCGTTTGTCACCATTCTTGTCGCGGTGCTTCAGAAATTGCTCCTTCTCCTTCTGGCCCCAATCATCCAGTGGAGCCTTCGGATCGAAAGTCCGACCGTAGGACTTCGCCAAATCAACTAAAGTCCCAAAGTGAATGGTACGGTAATGATCAATAGGATTGGAACAACCAAACGTCACAAACATGTTTCACGTAGCGAGCAACATGAATTCGAAGTTGCAAGTGTTCTTCCATTCAATTGAGTACGTGTTTTGAAGTTCAGCACATATGCCAAAGATTCATCCCAATCACACGTCTCGAGTTATGTCTTTGAGCTACCGCTCAAAAGATTAATTCTTTTAGGTAAGTATTGGTAGCAAAAACAAATGGAAGATTAAATAGACTTGGTCATGCAGAAGTTAAGAAAAAGCTTCGTTCGCACATTACAGAATAAATGCCTGGCATGCAGAAATGAGCATGGCGAACGCGCACCGATTGCTAAGAGCAATCTGACATAGACATACCAAGGTATTCCTCGATTGAGATGTAACCATCGTGATCTGTGTCTACGCTGCTTAGTGTTTCCTGAAGGCAATGGAAATGCATTTGCCGATTTTGTGTTTTAACCCGTTATGTCGTTTCCGTCCGAGAATAAAGCATGATAGGTTATGCAACGCGCATGCTCAAGCAAATCTATGCATAAGGTGTCTGTGTAAAAACCACAACCTGAACTTAGAGCTAAAAGAAATGACTTTAGTAAATTAAATGGCACTAATTCTTTAAATGATAGTGATGATTAATCCCTTGACTGTTTCGATATTTGTGAATCCATAGCTTGAGTTATTCGCGGTGACCCATTGCTCGAATGAATTACTTGAGTCGCATACCTCAATGACGACGTTTCGCATTCGTGGATAATCTTGAGGGTGAAGGAATGCTGAGTACTCGTCCAGACTGAGCTTGTTGTCAAAATTCATGTCGGCAGCGTTCCAACGGCGTTCATCGTCACGCTTCATCTTAACGTACTGCGCCTGACGCTCCGGGTCCGAGGAAATTTCTACAATGAGAGTGGTACAATTAGTGCCGTAAGTAGCTGACTTTCATTTCGTGAAATGTGCGTTCCCATAGTGAAGAATGAGAACGTCTTCATGTAGTTATAATTACAGCAGAACTTCGTCATTAAATTTGTTTAACATTTCAACAAAC